ATCCCCGCACACACACACACACACATAAATGTGTACGTACCGTTGCATTATATACTATATACATAGTGGACGAGGCATTTTACGAGCTTTCGAGGCTTGGCGTAGACTCGATCGATTGCCTCTATACATACGGCAGTTCGCCGAAGGTTATTTCAACCGTTAGTTATATCGCGCACACATACACGCGCACCGTTGCGATTCGATGACTCATGCGCGCGGCATTTCGGATCTTCCGTGCGAATAAAAACAATCGCTTCTTGCGCTGCTGCATCGCACTCGCACCGCACACCCACACGACTCGGTATGTAAATTCAAATTTCAATGATTCAGAAAGCTCGACCGTGTATAACATGGTGGATTTATCTCGTTTTACGCGAAATTTCTCAAAAAGCTCTCGCAAGCTCGAGGGAGTTGGGGCCAAAATAGCAGCAACAACAACAACAACAACAACAACAACAATTGCTGGAAGCGAACAATATCTTGGCTGCACAACTATAATACACGTAGACCCATAGTTTTACATTATTAAAGCTCGAGCTTTTGCAGTATATACATACACGAGGATGAGTTCGCTGTGCTGCACATAGCGCGATAAGGCGCGCGATGCATTTCTACGTAGTGTATAGTGTATATACCTGCACTATAGAGCGCTCAACAGACGAAGCAAACGCGATTATACGTCGAGCTTGCGGCGCACGGCATTATAATAGAATATATAGGCTTTGTGATATATTTTATGCACGTTATTGTATCACAGGAGTTGCACGGGCTGTATATAGGATAGCGTATAAGAAATTCGGCGGCGGTGCGAGCGCCTCCGTAAGATAGACATAGTCTCGTATATGTACGCTGCGCGCGGAGGGGCATTATAAAGTACGCATGTAACGATGTGTATAACGTAGCATATATATCGTAACGCGCGCGCGGAGACTTTTTGCATTTATATATAGAGCTGGGGGCGCAAAAGAGAGGGCGAGGAAGGGTCGAATTAGCTCGCGCTGGCGCAGCCGTGCGAAATTTCCGAAATCTTCATTTTACTCTCGTACAAGGCGCGTATTATAATATATAATGTGCAGCGGCACTGTGCGCGAGCCTCGAGCTTTCTATATACGTACGAAGCTACCTCGAGACTGGCAACAAAGAGAATTAATGCGCTCCGAGGCTGCTGCGTTATAACGTATAGACTTTGTTTCGTGAATACGGTACAGGGTTGTACCGAGGGTTAGCGTATACCAATTCGCTCGTGGAGCTTGTGTGTACGGGTGTGTACACTTAGCGTCCGCCCGAATCCGCTCCCGAGAAATAAACATTCGAGCATGTGAAAATTCGACTTCTCTTAGAAGCGGAGGGTCGAGAGAGAGCTTGAGTTATGGTCTAGAAAGGGTTGAGCCAAGTAAACGTGTCAATTATAAACCGTTGCTCGCTGCGTATCGTCCGTATGAATTATTTTCTATCTTCAAGACGACGTGCAATTTAATTTCACCCTCGTTCAAAGTCACGAAAAAGTGACTTTCCGCGGTATCTAATACCGCGTACAGTTGCGCGTGACGTCAAGCACGTTATATCATAACTCGCTGCATTTAGGCATAACGATCCGACGTACAGGATATGCCCGCGAGTCATGCCACACAAAAGCTTCGAGACGACGATTTTCAAAACGAAATTTCAACAAAAAAAAAAAAAAAAAAATCGGTAAACGTCGCGCACTCGTATTGTAAGTTTTTTTTTCGTTCGCTGCGAGATGCACAAAAGACGGGCGAGGGAGTCTACTACACTAGACGCTCACTTTCCCGCAATATATATATAATAATAATACATAAGAGTTCACGCGTGTGTATGTGTGTGTCGAAAAAGAAGGAGAAAAAAAAACGATCCACGAAAGAAGCTCGTCGTGCTCGGTTGCCGGAGGTATAATAACGCGCGGAAGGAGAAGAAATAAGAGGACGAAGAAGACGAAGTAAGTGCGGCTCGTGTAGCTATATACATGGAACAAAAAAGGATTCGACGTCATTTGTAGCGACGACGACGAGGAGGATGAGCGCGTCACGCGTTACAGACACACACACAGACGCGAGATACCGCGAAGAGAAGAAAAGACGATGGATATAATACATAAAAGCGTCGAGAGATGAGATTTTTCCAGTCTGATACGTGCGCGTGTGTGTGTGTGTGACGTTTATGAAAGCTTCGGAGAGAAAAATTGTCAACGGCGTCGAGTAAAAGGTATTTGAAAAATTTGTAAAAAAAAAGAAAAAATACAAGAGATACGATGCCCCGCGTAATTCTTCGTTTCCAGAGCGCGAGACCATACCAAACAAACGTAACGAACGAATGGATATAGTTCGCGTATACGCGCGTATACATACAGGATTTATTCCATTGCGTATTGTTTACGCGCGAATATGTATCCGCGCGTTCTCGCTATATCCCCCTCCCCTCGAGACTTTATATTTACTAAACATTACGCAATTAACGCGAATGAATGCGAGCGTGATTGAAATTTATGGCACGATGGATTCGGATATTTCCGCCGGCTCGGTGTGTTTGTATATATTGTATGGAATCGATCGTACCTACGGCGCCGTGTATATATAATAATAATGATATACGTATAGCACAGGTTGGAAATTAATTTATGACTGTGGGTCGCGCACTCGAGTATAATTTCTTTATCGTGGCGCGCGAGACAATTTTCATACTCCAAAGTGAGTTCGGTCGATCGCAATTTTTTTTTTTCTTTCGCACTGGGCTTGATTGATTTGGTTTGATTACGAGGGGATGATTTTTAAGCAGAGAACAATGCAATCAAATTCATTTTACTAATGTCGAGAGCTTATTTTATAAAAAAAAATTTTAATTACGAGATTTCATCAATTTTATCTTACTATCCGTTTGAAAAAAAAGCTCACCACGTTAACTCGTACAAGGGAGTTTAATTTCAAACTCGATAAGCCGCCCGTCCTATAGCCTCGACCAGTATAACACGGTATACGTATACGCGAGCTCGACAATTTATACAAACTAACTGTGCCGGCGTACGCTCAATTTTTATAGTTACATAAGGCCAGTCCGTACAACATTTTTTCATCCATATTTTTTTCTGCCTTCCTATTCAGCGAAACGCGTGGACTTTTGCGCCGCGTTATCTCCGGCAGGATATCTAAAGTATACGTGTATATAGAGATATATAGACCGCTTGCGACACGCAAAGGCAAGCCGAGCAGGGAATGACCCATATTTTCGCTCGAGGCTCGATATAACGAAGTCTTACATTATATACACCGCGCGGATAAGCCCTCGGCGTGCAAAAAAAATTCATCTTCCCCTTTTCCCAGGATTACGCGCAGAGTACGGCGTATACGCTGCGATCGACCAAGTATTATTATGACTTGCATCGCGAGCGCGAACGAAAAATCAACGGGCAGTTTTCGCTCGTAGGTTTCGTACGATGTGTAAAGGAAAAAAAGTTCAACAAACTCTTGAAATACAATAAGCGATTGTAGTATATAGAAGCAATTTTTTGAAAGCAAATACTTAGAATTCGAGACTACACTTCAGTTATGTTAAGTAGGTACATAAGCGCCTCGAAGTTAAGCAATTATTTTATTAATTACTTTAGTAATTGCTTACGCGAACGATAAGAATTGTCAAAAATTTATTTCCGGAAGTAGCAATTGCTATTCCTACCTCACAAGAAATAACTTTCGAAAAAGCTAGACTAAATCAACAGTCCGACGTTAGCGTTGAACGATTGAAGTCTTGCTTCTAGTTCCCGTAAGTCTTGAAACATTTTAATAGCAATTTTGTAGAATTATTTTCAAAAAAATGCCTAGAAATTTTCACTGGAACACGAGCTTATAGAGATGTATATCTGTATTGGCAAGCAATAACATCGATCGCTCAAAGCTCTGTACACTTGCACACACACTCTCACACAGATATACGTTTGATACACAGCGATCACACCGGCCAAATGCGCTGAAGCGGACGAACAAATAGTTCACGTATATATGTGTAGAGGTGGAAGCAGCTCAAGCGCTCTTTCTGCAGCGAGACCCAAAAAACAAAGAAGAAGCTGCCGAAAGCTTCATCGATGCCCCTCTCCCCTTCCTGCGTTGCTGCTACACACACGCGCACACAGACACACAATGCACTTTATAGCTTTACCAAAGACAAGTCGCGCAGAGCTGGTGTACAGAGAGAAGAAAGAGAGAGAGAGAGAAAGTAGAGATAGCTTCATTTCGGTTCGATCTGCGAACTCAAGAACCCGAAAACATTCAACCAGTTTCTTTACTAATACGATTGGTTTGGAGACAAAATTTTGAAAAAAAAGGGTTTTTTTTATTAAAAAATATTTAGTTTAAAAATGGTTCTTTATTATGAAAATAATGCCCTAGAGAAGAAAGTAAAAAAATGGTCCTTTTGTTAAAATGAAAAATGTTACACATCAGAAGGCATACGCCAATAAATGGCATTCGTTGTGAATTTATGAGTCATTTTTTTATGATCATAGCAAAGTACCATCGGAGGCGGTAAAAATAGTCTTGACATACATGTTCGCGGTACTACCAATCACGAAATCGTTTTTAAGCTTTAAAACGACATATCAAAGTTTAGAAAATCAAGCATATCCAAATGCTGACTATGCAGATCACCTGTATGAGCGGAAGTCTACGATTGGATGAGTGTTTGGTATGATTGAGACTGACTGATCATATGGTTTTTAAATCGGCAATATGCTGCGGACGTAAGTACGTCGAAACATTGTTGTAAGCCTTACTACACAGGATATTTTGAAATTATCTTACGAAAGCTCGGGTATCCTCGAGATCAGACAATTTGGCCCATAGATATTTAATCAAAAATGTTGTTATAAATTGAATTGCTAAATATATCAAAATTATTAATCTGACAAAAAGAACGTTAAAATTATGTTTTGGTATATTTATTCTTCTGGCGATGTTTATTTATTAAGGTGTGTGAGCGAAGAAACGCAATGTTGATCTGGAGCAAAGCGTAAATTTGTGTGACTGTTAGTATTGACAGAAAAGCGATTATTCTCGAACGTCTTACACTTCAGATTGTAGCATTAATTAATCTATTCAAAATTAAATATCTATAATAACCATCCAACGTCCAATAGTTTTAAATATAAAGTTTCATCAGTATCAGAGCATTTGACAAAAGAAAAAAAATGCCGCATAGATTAATGACGGAAGAGTATTTTCGTCAAAAAAGTACTGCAGTTTATATTATACATTTAGTAGATTATTTGAATAAAAATAAAATTACACAAGAAAATTTAGATAATAAAGATATTTTGAAGGATATAATATGCAAAGGAATGGGAAAGAAAATACCCCTTACGACAAAAGATATTAATGCCTTGAAAGAAACTCTTTGTTTTTTTAAAATTGATGAATTGAAGAAAACTAATCTATATCGAATAAATCGTGGTATATTGGCCGTCGCTTGTGTTGAACATGTCTTATACCCTGATAAAGATCATAAAAAATATAAACAAATATATGACTGCAGCAATAATCAGGCAGCCAAACTGTATAAAAAACTGCGTGAACATTGTGGTTTCACAACAGAAGAAGAACTCGACCTTGTTATAGTTAAATCAACTAGATCTTTTTTTAAAATCGGCTTGTTTTTTAATAAAAAGACATCTCTAGAAACAGTTCGATCTTATTTGAAAACTGTTGACCTTAATGTAGAAGAAAAGCACTACATAATGAATGCGTCGATTCAATTTATGTAAGTCAATATTTTGAAAATGCCTACCACAATTATATACATAACATTTAATTTAATTTCCAGAAATAATAATAAAACTTTTAAAACTGTTAACAATGTTCCATTGCAAATAAATATTATGAATCGAGAATATTTTCAAAAAAAACCTATGGCAGATGCTATTATTAATTTGGTGAATTATTTAGAGAACAAAGAAGTAAAAGAAGAAGATTTAGAGAACGAAAAAATTTTAATAGATATACTACGCGAGGGAATGAAAAAATTCCCCAACAGACGACCTTTAAAATTACAATTAGAAGAGTTTAAAAAAGCGATTCTTAATTTTACAATTGAATACTTGACAGTAACTAATCTTTATCGAATAAATCGTGGGATATTAACTGTCGTATGCGTTGAATATGTTCTTTTTCCTGGACAAGATTATGAAGAGTATGGAAAGATTTATGTAGGCAATTGCTTTAAGATCACCGCATTATATAAAAAACTCTGTGGTATTCCTATAGAAGAGAAAGTCAATGAAGCCTTAGTTAAATCGGCTAGATCTTTTTTTCAGTGTAAAAAAAGAAATCTGGAAACGATTCGTTTATATTTACAAAATATCGATATTGATTCTGAGGAGATCGAATATATAAAAAATGCGTCGATTCAATTGATGTAAGTAAATATGTTAAAAATAATATACAATTATGTACTTAAAAACTGCATTTAATTTTCTGTAGAGGTAATAAAGCTATTGAAGCTAATCAACTGATGGATAATAAAGATGAACTATCAATCAACATGATCGATCTTATCGAAGATCATCCAATAAATGTGATCACTGACGACGAGGAGACCCTTCCACCTATGCCAGATATGCCATTGGAACATGTTGACCCTTCTTCAGTTGTACCAATACGAGTAGACCAGGGATTTCTTTCCCGTTACTCTCCCAATGAGGTGGTGTTGGCGAAAAGGTTTAATTCGTATTTCTGGCCAGCAAAAATTATTGAAGTCTATAGTGATAAAATGTATGTTACATTTTTTCCTTTATCAGAAGAAATGGAGAAAGAGGAAGTCTCATCGAAAGAAGATGTCAAAGCTTTTACGGACGAAGAAATCGAAGCCGCTGGTGCCTCTCTATGTCTAGGTTTATCACAAGTTGCCTTTGAAAACGCAGTGAAATTTGCTTCAGCAGAATTGAATTGAATACATTCTCGTTAATTTATGCATGCAATTAATCATTTTATGATAATTGACATCCAGACGGTCAGAATTTTCGATTTGCTAAAGTGATACTTTTACGGAATTTTCATTTTTATGTCTGAAAAAGATCAATAATTTTTTTTTTACATTCAATCGGGTACAAAACGGAGAATCGATTAACAAAATACTCATTAAAATGTATACTTTAAATAACCACGGCATTTTCTTATGCAACAGCTAGAAACGTATGACAGAGTAACGAATTTGAATCGGAGCTGCAACAAAGTTAGGACGATCATAAATAAAAGCATTTAAAAAATAGAACAAAATTGTATACGATTGATATCCTAACAATTATCGAAAGCATCGTTTCTTATGTTCATGTGATATAACTTGAAATCGATCATCACCAGCGATTTTGTTCAGTTAATATTTTTCGATTTGATCCTGTACGACGATCGATCGATTTGATACTGTACACACACGGTTAATACAAAATAAAACATTACTAAGGCAATTAATTAATATTTAAAAAAGCGTTATAAAAACGGCGAAAAAATATGGCATTTCTTCTAAGACTCACGGGGACTCGAGTACGATCTAGTTGTGGCGCGCCTCGCAACGAGTACGAGGAACAAGAGTCATAAATAGCAGGACAAACCGCGAAATACCACCGAGATAGCTCCCGAAAGTCCTTTTTGAACGCAGTTACCGCTACAGTGCGGCTCATTTTCCGTCTCTTGCATTATGTGCGTGGATACATAGCATTTCACATGCATGTACCAGTCTCGTAAAATCGAAATTCTCTTCTCTGCATGTGACATTGTTGCTGCTGCTGCTGCGACAGAGATAACGACTTTATTTACGATTAGATGACACCGTATTATGTTGTTCACAATTTTCGTCTTGTACTTTTCACGATTGCGACGTCGTGGATGTTTATTCTCGTTTCGCGTCGCTACATTGTATAAACGGTTTGTTTTTCGGCTGGATTGGCGGCCAATAGCCCACGAGCAAATCATCCTTTCTCAATGTCCGCGTGGAGTATGAATTTGCGCGTGGGCGTAAAAGAATACGCTTCTTTTTTTTTATCATATATTCAGCGAGTGATGCACGCGATCATCGATGTTCGTAAAAAATCCTCTTTTAAAACAGTGATGGGGGGTTTATCGATAGCTACTTTTCGCAAATATTGCAGAAAATTACTTCAATCTCACGAAAAAGACCATTCGCGAATGATCGTATTATCGAAAGTCGAGTTAGCACCTTACCAGCAAACTCATGGGATCACGTAAAAAATGCGTTCGATGTAGTGTCAAACTCGTTATTGATGTAAAAAAAAGAAGAAAATAGGTTTCGCGAGTATGTTCGCTCAAATATTTTAATCCTGCTTTCCTCTGCCAATTAAGTATGTATTTTACCATCAGTCTACTTGACCTCTTAACTTTTTCAATTTAATTATTATCAGTAACTTCACCTATCCGATGAGCAGTCCTCGACAAGTAATTTTCAAAACAAACTTCGCTTCTTTAATCCAAGCAATAAGCGCAATCTGTGGATACGGTTACCACGCACAGAGATATGCGAGCCGCTAATATTTTTTTTTCAAAAATACCGAAACAAAAGGATGCGTGCACACGTTATTACTTCATAATTGTGCAGCCTCGAAGCTTAATCGAATAACGGCATATATTTCACAGGGCGTTTAGCCCGGCCAAACGCGAAGAGGTGTAATATATCTGTAACGCCGCGGCTCCACGTCGCCTGGATTAATCTCTCTGCCAACTTTGTTAATCACTATTACCCAACTCTCTCGCTCTGCGTCTATCCCTTCGAACAACCTTGGCTCGGCGCGTACACTTACGCGGACGCGCGCAGGGCTCTGCGGGCGTCCCCGGATGAATCAACGCGGCAGCGCGCGGCGACCGAGATCCGTTTCCCAAAGTAGCTGGATTTCGCGCGCTGAGAACGACACGAATCGGATGTAAGCGATGTAATATGTATCTCGCGCGAACGCTTTTGTCTCTCTTGCTGTCGCGTGTGTTGTACGAGTGGACGAAAAATTTAACACAGCTGAGCTTCTAATATGCGAATCGCTCGAATACGAGTTCAAAAACGAAAAGAGGTGCGTAAGAAAGTGTCGTTTGGAGCGCGCCAACTCCACGAGAACTCGACTTACATATTTGCGTGCACATATTCAACTTTCGCTGCAGCTCTAATTCGTTAAAATATAGTTTATATATCTATATTCCTATGGGAGCTCAGCTCGAGTGATTCATTAGATATTTAGAGTAAGTAATGAAGGCGACGACTCGAGCTTGTCAGTGATTTATATTTATGGTGGGAATGACGTTCGCGTTGCTCGCCCAACGATTACATACTACATATTATATACTGCATGAGCGAATTCCATTAGCTCTAATTTGCATCATTACACTTGGCACGCGCAGAGCTCATGATTTTAAACCCCCCAAGTGTCACGCACGTATGTGTGAAGATCCGTGCTCTATAGTCATAAATTGTTTCGAAAATGTTACAAAAAAACGTTCGCATATACACGTCACAGACATACCATACTACTATATTCGTCTAAAACGTCATCAGTTGTTTCACTCGTCGAAAAAAAAAAAGTTAACCCATCCTATACGTTCTATACGCACTACTCACCCAAGATTGTGATTCTCGCTGTTGTCCGCCGCGTCGAGACTCGCCGGGTCGTCCTTGACGATGATCGGGCCCTGGGTCACGTCCACGCCCATGCCGCCGATGTCCAGGCTGGCGTAGGCGCGCCTGGCCTGGACGCCCCGGGCACTGCCGCCGCTCTGATCGCCGCCGCTGTTGCGATGCACGCCGCAGAGCTCGCGATAGAGCTCGTCGTAGAGCGAGCTGCTGCCGCTGCTGCTCTCGTTGCTGTTGAGGGCGTCGTCGAGGCGCGCCGGGTCCAGGTGGTAGTTCGGATTCTCGAAGGAGAGCAGGCCGTTCTCTGCCAAAATTTAAGGTTGCCGGTTAGTCGATGCGTGCGTAAATAATCATGACATCAATTTGAATTCGAGTTTATGTATGTATATAACGTAAATCTTGGGAAAACTCGATTGGAAAGTATAAAAGATATGTATCTTAATTGCAGGATATATATTACAAGACTCGAGCCGCGGCTCTCGAGTTTTACTCTCGCTGCTACTTCTGCTGCTGCTGTATACGAGTTGGTAATTTTATACCGGATTTTAAAGCGAGTAAGAAAGTTCAGTCGAAAAGCTCAAACAATCGTTTCACATGAAGAAGAAAATTAGTTACCAGTGCGCGCGGCCGACGGGGGGGAAAAAACTTTTCCTCTCCCGGCGTGCTGCACTTGCCTCTGCGCGAGGCAGCTTAAAATGTAAATTGAAAGGTCAAATTATTAAAGTACTTTTGATATATAAACCACTGCCTCGAATCGCTAATGCCCGTGAGCTCACCGAGGCGCGAGAATCGACTTCAACGCGGAAGCCGGCGTATCGCTTCCATAAAGCGTATAATGCATGGTCCGAAGGGAGAAAGAAAGTGAGAGAGAGAGAAACTTTGCATTGACTCGGGTGCGAGTCGCGCGAGACGAGCAATTTTCCAAAAAAAAAAAAAAAAATGTAAAAAATAAAGCCAGGTTGCCAAGCGACGACGAAGAAAAAAAAAGACGAGACTACCGTGTCTAGCTGGAGTCTAGATTCGAATTTTGTAAAAAAAAAGAAACGAGGAAGAAGAAGCTCGGAGTTTCAAAGTTCGGACACGCTTTCGGCGTTACAGCGTCGAGGGCTTTTTTCGCCCGGAGATACCGGGAACGCCGGTGGCGAGAACAAAAAGTAAGTGTATATAGTTGCGAGCTGCGAAGAAGTGAACCACATTTCGCGTGTGCATAAGTGCTTGTAGCCAAACCTTATTTTTTTTATCCGCTTCGAAAGGTCTGGTATTTATTTCGAGTAAAAAAAAAGTGGAAACTCTTCCCGTGCTGTAGAAAGGGTAACCGAGTTGAACTTCAATCGATCGTTTTACGATATTTTTAAAAGCTCTTAGTCGAAAAAAAAAACTGTTCAATATTCTCGATAAAGTGAATTTCAATTGATCGAATTAAAATACACACACGAACCGCTCTATAATGCAAATTAAATGAAATTCAAAGTTCAGTACCGGCAAAAACAACGCGCGACCTGTCGCCTGATAAATATAAAAGCTCTCTATCTCTCTCTCTCATTTTCTCTCGGAGGTACACGTGTCGAGCGCGCTCGGCGTTAACCAAGCTATAGATCTATTCTATAATTTACCAGAAAAATAAACGTCGAGGAAAAAAAAAAAAAGAAAATAGTCGTGGACAGGCGTGGAGAAAAAAAGTTTTCTATACACTACTGCCCGACGACGGCGTCGATGAGTCAGCCGCCGCTCGGCGATATCGATTCGCGTTTTTGCGCTACGCGCCTGTATTCGCCGCACTGCTCTGCGATATAGCGAGCGAGCTGCTTCTATAAGCACGGGTATGTAGAAGCGCGAGATACGTATAGAGCTCGTTCAAAGGTAAAAAGGAATACCAATTTTTTTGTACCTGGAGCTCGGGTTTTACATGAGTTCATACGTCGCGTGAGTTTCATTATTTAAAAGTTAAGAACTAAATAGTCAAAAAATGAACAGAGAGTAGTAATCAGTAGTACGTAAGATTTGGTTCAAAAATAAAACACCGTAATGTCAATGAACAAAATTGTAATGATATTTGATAATAAGTATTGAGAACTGAACGATACCTCAGCGTCTCTCAGTATTCAATGTGAGTGTCCCATAAGAACTAGAGTAATAGGGTAAAATACGCCATGCCCTATTCCTCTAGTTCTTATGTAAATTAACATTGAATGCGTATAGAGGCGCTGCCGTATCGTTCAGTCCTCAATAAGGCTCAATCTTTCGGATCAGTGTGTCGAAGAACGATATATACAGTTAAGGTACCGATTTATCTGTTCGTATGTTGTTCTAAAACTAAATACTTTTAAAAAAACTTTCAATAAATAACATCAAGTTCACATAAAAAATACCGAGTAAATATATCCTTATACACATTTATAATAAACAATTTTATCATTCGTTCCAAAATTTGCCGCCTCCGTGCCGTGGCGGGCTCCATAAATCGTCACTGGTTATATGTTTTGCCCATAAGGGACAAGTAAAGCTTCTTTCTATTATGGGTAACAAATTACAACGATTCGTGTAAAATCCGGCGAAGTAATTGTCCCGATAATACAGCTCCCTAACTCTGTTACACAGATCGTTTCATTAACAATAATTTATGCATTTTACAACAATGACTTATACAATAATTTTGACTTTGCCTCTTGCAGATTTAAGAATCGAGGTACTCGCCACCTAGTGGTAAAGATGGACACTAATTGCCATTTAATTTTCGTGAATTTTTTGGGCTAAGTGAGACAAAAACTGAACTAATATTAAACCATAAATTTTCAATCAAAATGTTTAAATTATTATATTTCAAAATATTTAAATTATTTTAGTTTAACGATAGAAATAAATGTTTGCCTTTAAATAATCATTTTCGCATGTATCCGGTCCGGTCGTCCTGTTTAGGTGAAACAAATCGGAAATCACGAAAAAAATTGAAATCAATGTACTTCCGGGAATGCGAACTCACATTCCAGAAACGTATGAAAATCGCGATAATCCGATTTCCACGTCGCTATAATCGTGCGCGTACACGATTATTATCGATGCTATATGTGTAAACACGCAATGGCGGATTTTAAGCTCTCGTCGCGGACACGTATTTTGCTTCACTCCGTCGAAGCCGAAGATATACAGTAATTGAGGCTCGCGGGGCCTGAATAATGAACGGCGTAATTGCTCGAGCAACGACGTATACGCTCAACGCTGGAAATTCGATCGGACGAGAAAAGAAGGAAAACTCGTTAGCTTACCCGCGGGTTTGGCTCGAGCAATTTGATGTTGAAAAAAAGAGAGAGAGAGAGAAGAAGGTAATAACAATAATAATAATAATAACGAAATTACTGTTTCCCCGGCGCATACGTATACATGCATATAAGCTAAACGAAAGCCACTATACGTAATAAACTTCTTTTGCGAATTACAACCGAGCAGCGCGCAGCCGAGAAATAATCCCAGATTATAATGTAGCTTTCGAGCTTTCTATACCCGCGCGCACAAAGAGATCGATATATAGTAGTAGTAGTAGTAGCGTATACAAGCTCAGCTGGCAGCGGAGTACGAAGAGGGGCTGAGAGTCTTTATTAATCACGCGTCACTGGTCATATAGCATGATGCACTGCTGCCGCCACTGCCACACTACCACGACTGCGCGCCAGCTTATTTAGAAGCCGATGAACTCGCGATCGTGTGTACGCCTCGCCCGAGAACCGTTATAAACTACGTTACAACTATCGAGCCGCGAGGGATGAATTATGTACACATACGGACGAGCTTTTTGACCGTGCATATATATACGTTTTACGGTGTATGTATTTTGTGGAGCTGCCGAAGGCGTGGGGAGGCGGGAGAGCGAGGGTTTATTATAACGCGTGTAACACATAGTTGCATTCGAGCGCGAGCACGCGACGACGTTTATACACTGTATACACTCGTGGAAGCGGCAAATTTCGTGCCGATCGGCCGTTTTCTCGCGTTCGAGCGTCGGTTATAGGGCTTTTGTCCGTACTTTTTCCATCATTTTTATTGTACGAGTTAAAAAAAATCAATTCACGTCGGAGTGCGAGAAAATATGAATGTGAAAGTTCCAAAGGTGACATGTACTGCTTATCTTCAGTCGTCGTTGTTAGTTGACCGCATTTTGCTATTTTTCGAGATAGCTTCGTGAGGTTTTCGTAGCTTTGTTTTAGCCGTATCGCTAATTTCAGTCTAAGCGTTATTCCTCTTAACAGTATCGAATTACATTTATTGGACATGGAAAATTGATCTCTCGGTTTCATGTACGGTTCATTGACTCAACGCCAGATGGCAGGCGTGCAATGATACCGCAGACTCGCAAGACGCGACTGACATTTTTGTCCATAAGAGGAATGCGTTGAGGCTCGATGCTTAACTATCTCCATTTCTTCTTCATACGAAATTAGAATTTATATGTACAAGACCTCGGAATTCTTTTCAACCGAACGTAATATCGTTTACATTTTTTTTTCAGCAGACTGACTCAGTGGAGCCCCAGCAATGTTAAAATACAATCTTACGACTTTTTATCTTCTGATGTATGTGTAAGTTAAGGCGCCGGTACGCGTCGACGATTGATCAATTTGTAAACAAACGCGTGCGAAAATAAGAGAAAGAGATGTAACGGTTTTAGTTTGTAAGCACAATTGAAATAAATTTATAGCAGAGCTTCTCGAGACTTCGACTCGAGAGCAGAGGAATTTAACCGTCTCTCTCTATATTATTTCCGAGACCCGTCCGTCTTTCCCCAGGCAACATCATCTCCGAAGACCGAACCGACTCTCAAGCTAGCTCTCATCACTTCATTTTGGAAAAACCTGTAGTGGTAATTTTTTCTGTTATATATGTGGGGATACTCCCCTCTCCTCGCTCTGCAGCGCGCCGCGAGACGGCGCAGAGAGAGCGGGAGCGTACTGTAGGACTCACTCTTGTTCAGGCCGAGCTACTGTAGACATCTCGCCAATAAAGAATAACCTCGTTAAAGCAATTTAGTGAGCGGTCATCCTCGCGACCTCCTCGAGACCCCGAGATCTCACTTATTCCCGCATATACTCCACAAGTGTATAGAGAGCATTGATCTGATACTGAGACTGAGCTGTAACTTATACGATTTCTTTTATTTTTCCACTTGCAGGTTTACGGAAAAGGTACTCGCCACCTGGTGGCGGAGATGCAAAGTGCTATTTCATCGTACTTACAGTTGCTGAAAACTCATCTACATTTTTTTAAAACAATTCAATGATCACTTTTAGGTCTTTTAAAATGCGCTTAATAGTT